ATTGGGGGGACAAGGAAAAACTGACATACGGCTGGACAGACGGGGAGAGGTCTGGATGGCCAGTCAGACAAGTTGATTCCAGTACACCCCCCCATTACAATTTTGTTATATGGGGGTATAAATATGGATGGCTGTGACATTGCTGATGTCTTTTTCAGAGGTAGCCAAAACTGGATGCCCAGGGTGGGGATCATCCTTAACATAAGTTCTACCTAACATTAGTTCTACTTTCCGTAAACATAGACACCCTCCTGCCAATTGTACGATATGGAAGGGCATTTTCCCCATAAACTAAATCTAGATCTGTTTTTATGTCTGACGCGCATTTACCCAATAACCCATGAATTTTACAATAAGCTCTTTGCTCCTCTCTCAATCACAATGCTATTCAGAAATGTTTACAACCAGTATACAAACCACATGTTTCTAAATGACCTGCTAAAATCTTATTGCACGCGCAAATCGTGCAAAACAGACTTTTGGTTAGAAAAATCAATAATGTTTATTACACATGTACTTTCATGTGCAAATCATGGTTAAATTGAGTTGTTGCCACTATTTAAAATATGCCACTTGTAAAATGACACTATTTTAGCGCACTTTATGAATAAATTGTGTTAAAAATGACGTAATTTCGGCACATTTTAGAATGAAACTGCACACTTGGAAGACTTCCTTTCACCATTATGAATGATGTTGCAGGGCATTGGGTCAAATAAAACTAGAACTATCACTAAATGTGATTAATACCCCGCAAGACTGCTTCGGATATGAGGAAGTTACAAGTAACAGAATACCTTGTAAAAGAATTGGAATAGAGTTATGGTTGTGGGCCATTAAAGATAGTTTTGGTTCTTGTATGTTGCATTTCCTTTCAATGTGGTTGACCACTGATAAGTTTTATTGAATTACTCTGTAATAAATCCAGAAAGAGTTACGCTTCTTGAGCACTGCACTTCCTCTCATTGTGCTTGACCATTGTATGAAGTTGCATTGAATTCTAAACATTTGTTTTAAGTTATGCACCGGACAAGGAAAAGGAACAAAGGGCAATAACTCTACAAATACTGAAGATGGAGTTATTGTTATTGTACACTGCACTTCCTCTTATTGCACTTGACCATTGTATGAAGAAGGTGTATTGAATTCCAACTACCAGTTTTCAAGTTTTGCACTGGACAAAAAAGTAACAAAGGGCAATAACTGTAATTAGTCCAAATAGAGTTATGGTTCTTCTGCACTGCACTTCATCTCACTGCCCTTGACCATTGTATGAAGTTTCATTGAATTCCAACCATTAATTTTCAAGTTATGCACTGGACAATAAAAAGTAACAAAGGGCAAAAACTCTTAAATGAGTCAAACAAGAGGGCCATGATGGCCCTGAGGTCGCTCACCTGTATATAACCCCTGGAGCGGGGCCAGTTTAAACCCCAGGGCTTTTATTTGAACAAACTTGGAAGACACCCATTAGAAGATAGTTCATGATGTTAAGTTTTTACTACACACATATAATGAAAAACAATGACCTTCCCACCACCCATCCCCCCGGCAGGGCCAATTTTAATCCAAGGGCTTTTATTTGAACAAACTTGGTAGACACCCATAAGAAGATGTTTCATGCTGAACATCTAAGCTCTAGCTCATTGGGTTTTTTAAAAGAAGATTTTTTTAAGTTTTTACTTTACACATATAGTTAAATACAATGACACCCCTAGGGCGGGACCAGTTTTGACCCCAGGGCTTTTATTTGAACAAACTTTGAAGACACTTACTAGAAGAAGTTTCATGCTTAATATCTAAACTCTAGCTATTTGGGTTTTTCAAGGAAGATTTTTTAGTTTTTGCTGTACACATATAAGGAAAATCAATGACCCCCTGGGGCGGGGCCAATTTTGACCCCAGGGCTTTTATTTGAACAAACTTTGTAGACACTCACTTGAAGATGTTTCATGCTTAATATCTAAACTCTAGCTATTTGGGTTTTTTCAAAGAAGATTTTTTAAGTTTTTACTATACACATATAAGGAAAATCAATGACCCCCGGGGCGGGGCCAATTTTGACCCCAGGGCTTTTATTTGAACAAACTTGGTAGACACCTATTAGAACATGTTTGATGCTAAATATCTTAGCCTTAGCTCTTTGAGTTCTTAAAAAGAAGATTTTTTAAGTTTTTACTATATGCATATAGGGAAAATCAATGACCCCCTGGGGTGGGGCCAATTTTGAACCCAGGGCTTTTATTTGAACAAACTTGGTAGACACCCATAAGAAGATGTTTCATGCTAAACATCTAAGCTCTAGCTCATTGGGCTTTTTAAAAGAAGATTTTTTTAAGTTTTTACTATACACAAATAATTAAAAACAATGACACCCCTGGGGCTGGCCAGTTTTGACCCCAGGGCTTTTATTTGAACAAACTTTGTAGACACTTACTAGAAGATGTTACATGCTTAATATCTAAACTCTAGCTATTTGGGTTTTTTCAAAGAAGATTTTAAGTTTTTGCTATACACATATAAGGAAAATCAATGACCCCCGGGGCGGGGCCAATTTTGACCTCAGGTCTTTTATTTGAACAAACTTGGTAGACACCTATTAGAACATGTTTGATGCTAAATATCTTAGCTCTAGCTCTTTGAGTTCTTTAAAAGAAGATTTTTTAAGTTTTTACTATATGCATATAGGGAAAATCAATGACCCCCTGGGGCGGGGCCAATTTTGACCCCAGGGCTTTTATTTGAACAAACTTGGTAGACACTCATTAGAACATGTTTCATGCTTAATATCTTAGCTCTAGCTCTTTGGGTTCTTTAAAAGAAGATTTTTTAAGTTTTTACAATATGCATATAGGGAAAATCAATGACCCCCTGGGGCGGGGCCAATTTTGACCCCAGGGCTTTTATTTGAACAAACTTTGTAGACACTTACTAGAAGATGTTTCATGCCAAATATCTAAGCTCTAGCTCTTAGGATTTTTTAAAAGAAGATATTTAAAGTTTTTTCTTTCGGTTGCCATGGCAACCAGAGTTCTGCATGGAATTAAATTCTTTGAACAATTTTTAAAGGTGACCACCAAAGGAACATTCCTGTGAAGTTTGGATGAAATTGGCCTCGTGGTTTATGAGGAGATGTCATTTAAAGTAAAAGTTTACGGACAACGGACGGACGACGGACGGACGACGGACGGACGCCGGACAAAAAGCGATCACAAAAGCTCACCCTGTCACTTTGTGACAGGTGAGCTAAAAAGGGTAATGGTTTCTGTGCACTGCGCTTCCTCTCAATATACTTGACCATTGTATGAAATTGTATTGAATTCCAAATAGCACTTTTCAAGTTATGCTCTGGACAAGAAAAAAGAAATGGAAAAGTAACAAAGGGCAATAACTCAATAATTACTCTAGACAGAGTTATGGTTCTTGTGCCACTTCCTCTTAATGTTCTTGACAATCAAAGGTGTATTGAATTCTAACTTATAGTTTTCAAGTTATGCTCCAGACCCGGAAAAGTTTCAAACGGCAATAACTCTGTAATTTATCAAAATGGTGTTATGGTTCTTGTGAACTGCACTTCCTCTTAATGTGCTTGACATGACAATTGAATGAAGTTGTATTGAATTCCAAATAGTAGTTTTCAAGTTATGCTCCGGACAAGGAAAAGTAACAAAGGGCAATAACTTTGTAATTAGTGAAGGTGGAGTTATGGTTCTTGTGCACTGCACTTCCTCTCAATGTGCTTGAGCAAACACGACATATTGTCTAATATTTGATTGTATGTAAATTTGAAGACTTAAAAAGCGGCATAACTTTGTCAAAATGCAATACAGAGTTATGAAACTTGACCTGCATATCTTAATTGTGATATTTCATATATATTTTAAGTTTCAAGCAATAACATTTTTTAGTTTCCGAAATATTCAAATACATGTTAAAATTTAAGAATATCTTTCAATTAGTGTAGGACTTACAGAGCAGACACGACATACTGTCTAATATTCGATTGTTTGATATTTGACCTTCAATTGTGACCTTGACCTTGAGCTGACACATGGGCAACATGGGTTCTGCACATCCCCTTGTGGAGGTGGATATTTGAGCCAAGTTTAAAGAAAATCCTTCAATTGGTATAGGATTAATAGAGCGGACACGATAATGGAGAAGGACGGACCGGACAGACGGACCGACACGACAAAGCGAATCCATTATAGCCGCCCCCCCCCCCCCCACATTTTGTGGTGGGGGTAAATCTAAGCTCTAGGCCTTGCACTTTCAGAGAAGAAGATTTTTAAAGATTTCATTTCAAAAAATCTATTTTAAGCCCTCCTGATCCAGAGGCTCAATTGAGCAAAACCATTTGAACAATTTTAGTAGCACTTCATAATAGGAACATCCCAGGAAAATTTCATAACATTTGGCCCAGTGGTTTCTGAGAAGTTGTTTGTATAAAAAGTTGACGACAGAGGCACGGACACACTGACTGCGATGGAAGCCGGACAAATAGTGATCACAAAAGCTCACTCAGGTGAGCTAATAAAAAATATGGGGTTTTTTCCACTCTCTAAAATTCATGTGTGGGGTTTTGTGCACTCTATAAAAATTTTAGGTGTGGGGTTTTGACGTGTGGGGTTTTGTCCGTCTTTCAACTTTTGCAGATGACCACCAAAGAATTGTTTCTGTGAAATTTGGTCAAAATCCATCAAATGGTTTCTGAGGAAATGTGGTTTAAAGAAACTGTGGAAAGAGACTGAGGACTAATGATGAAAAACGGACACACTGCCATCACAACAGCTCACAATAGAGGACAGTGTGCTCAGGGGAGAGCTGTAAAGGGACATTTCACTAAAATAAAGCTGTCATAATAATGAGCTTTTAAGCAAGTTTTCCACGTTTAATGTTGATCACCTTTACTCATTTTCTTTAAAAAAAGAGTCTAGCTTAAAATGGTTGTAACACTTAATTGACAGCTTATATTTCTAATAATCTCTGAAAAAGGTTACCTGTTGTCTGCTATCACCATAGTTAAAGTACTGAAATAACTTCTCACCAAACTTGCTCCAAACTTGGTTTTCCTCATTTGGTATAATGCTGAAAAAGAGATACATGTATAAGTTAAAGAATGATAAATATGAATAAACATTTCATCTGTAATTGCAATATTGTAAGATTTTGAATAAAAAAATATGATCTGCAAGCTTACAGTACAAATCAGTTAATATTTCTTAACCAAATAACTAGACCGTACCTTAATAACTGATGTGTCATATAGCTAGGTAGATATCTATCATTTTGATAAGGATACTGTGTAAATACAAAAGGCAAAAAAGACAATGAAATATATTGAATTATTAAGAGTCAAAGTTATATGTCACTGTGTATCGATGTGATGCCATGACCATTGGCAACTTGAGTCATTAAGTCAACTGTTTCATCTGACATTGGAGTGATTGTTGTTTAAGTTTGGTTGGTTAGGCTATATAAAATAAATTCCCAGATTCTCATTCCCGCCCGCCCGGCAAAAATTGCACCGCTCAATTTGATTACCGTGTACAAATGCCGAGGACTGAATGTATATAAGTGCATGATTATTATGTGCGATCGAAAGTCTGTCGGTCTCGGTCCTGGCTGAATAAAAATTGGATCATACGGTCCGAGATAATTTTCTTACTGCCAATCCTCGGGTCCTAATAAAATTTCAAAGAGCTAAAGATAACCAGTTTTGACAATTAAATCTTGACCCACAGAAGACCAATTTTGGACAATTCAGATAAACAGCTGTGAGCTTGTCTTCATAAACAACATCGGTAAATTTTGCCGTAAATTACAAATTTGGATTTATTTTAAAATAGAGAATGAATAATCATAAAATATTTAATCTGATAAAATCAACAACAACTAGAATTGTGAATGGTTATGCAGAAAACAGACATTTTTTTTCATTTGTCACATATTTTTGGGATGCCCATTTTTAATAGGTAAATCTCTTTACTTTCTTTGCCAAATTTTCAATAGGTTATATGTAATTATTTCTGCTATGTGATAATTATATAAATATGCTTTTCTTTTTGTGTAGCTTCATTGGTTGATTAATTAATTTTTAACAAACTTCACTCCAGAAAAAAGTAATATTGATCGACATAGGCATAGTACATCTTTATTCAACTCTTTTATTAAATTAGCATGTCTTATTGTGTAACAATACATGTATAAATTGGTTGTTTTTTTGTCCAAACATCAATTTGTTTGATGTCGGAATATGAAAGGTTCAATAAAACAGATCAGAACAATCAAGATATATTACCATGTTGCTTCTATTCTCAATCTAAACACATAATATTAGCACCTAAATAGCTTATAATAGAACTAATTCCCAAATATTGACCTCCTCGCATGTAATATTTCCAGACCGAGAATGGAAAATAAAAAATAGAAAATAAAATCCACCCATCTGCCCCATTTTTTCCATAAGGCCATTTTTTTTTTATATTTTGGTTTACTGATTTTTTCCAAAAAAAGGTAGGGTCGGTGGAGGGGAAAAAAAAAAAGGAAAAGAAAAAAGTTTTCATAATTATCTTCATGTCTGGAAGGTGAGATACTTTGTAAGTATCCCTTCTCTTATGATTAGTCCATTCCCATTCTGGTAAATGTGATGAGTACATAGTACTTACTAGAGAAATTAAATGACCGACTGTCTAAATTCCACAGTGCTCATAAATACACAAAACATCGTTCACATGTGTGAAAACAAAATAGCATCCACAAATTGATAAAATATCATGTTGCTATTATTTAATCTACACATCTAATCTATGACCTCGCTGACCCTTCAAAAGAGTCGATAAATCTTTGATGTTCACACACATGTAGTCCCAGTTGTTTAATTCGAATCATCAAAGGTGCTGAAACTCAACTGACTTGCACTCATTTATTGATATAACAGAAGTTTAAAAACCTGTCAAGAAAAGATTACACATGTTAAATTATTGCCCAAGTTGAAAAATATTTCTTTCGGAAAATTAACAGGTCAATTACTGACACGTAAATTATTAATCGTAAGTGCATTTTTTTATATTTTTTTTGAAAGGAAACCCGTATCTAATCTCCTTTTAAAGACTAATGTTTTTGTTAAATCTGTAAATAGTGATCATGTCACTATGTTTCTTTTTAAATTTAATTTAATTTGATTCTCATTGAATAAGATTTCTCTAGCTGTATCCAAGTGATAACTTGTGTATTTTGGGGTTTTTTTTAATCTTTTTTTTTTTGTAGTTGTTTTCTTTGACATTTCTACACAATTGGACCTTCAAAACATATGATTTTATACATACATACATGAAATATATTTTGAATATATAGATATTAGCCTAATTAATTTGGCGAGAATTAATGGTTTAACCCATTTTGTAGACATTTTTCTTCATGCCAAATACATCGCCGTCAAAAATTATCTCTCGACGTTTCTTTGACAAGTCTAATAAGTAATAAGTTGGACTTCTATAAATCTCCGATCTAAATTTAATAAGCAGCATATTTTGAGTACTTTTTTCCGGGCAGATTTTTTTTTTTCATTTTCCCAAAAAAAGGATGCGACGGGTCAGTAAACCGAAATATCAAAAAATAATGGCCTAATTTGGATGAGAATCTAGTTATTTATTTTCTATTGCCTTATAACACTGATTTTAAAACATTTTTGGTCATTTTTTAGCCTTGTCAATTCAGAGTAGAAGATTTCTCAAGTTTTACAATACATGCATTTCTCACATACCCGTGCCGATTTTGCGACTCCGTAAATATGGTATTGCAGGGCCGTGCATATAATTTGACGTGACGTCATTAGTGTAATACAAACATAGCGTAAAGACGCGCTAAATGTTACATTATACTGTAGGCGCGTCAATGAAAAATGACTCTTATTTCACTTTAAACTGTCTTTATTTTGGGTATGTGATAAATAGAATATTAAATTTGTGTAAGTTCATTACTGAATTTATTGAACTCGTTGAATAAAATAATATTATGCTCGCCAGAGGCTCGGATAATATAATTTTATTCAACTCGTGCAATAAATTCAGTATTGAACTTACACTCATTCAATATCCTCTATATATTATACCTCATTTGCATACGCTCTTCTATATTTAATATGATGTCATCCCGTCCATAAATTGCATACAGACCAGCTACGCAGTTCATAATTCTTATATTGACTGGATGACGTTATATTAAATAAAGAAGGGTGTATGCAAATGAGGTATAATATTCTATTTTGTTGTTAAATGATTCTTTTTACTGAATTTATTGTTATGTTTCACATAAATATATTACATGTTGATCAAAAGTCATGATTTGTCTTTAATTTAATTATAATTTTTATTTATACAGATGAAATTCTTAAAGTCCAGGGTGCCGTTTTATCAACGGTTGTACGCCCGGTCGTAGCTAAGATTTGGTCGTACGACCGATCTTACGGCTACGTCACGTTTTATCAACATGGTCGTAGCTAAGACGTCTTAGATGAATGTCGTAACTTTAAGGCTGCTTCAGACCAGTCGTAAGTAGGCTAAAGATCTTAAAAATGGCGGCCATTTTTGCATAATTCCCGATAGGAACTTTCAAACACAAATATTTGAACAATTGAAGTTTTCAACTAACTTAGGTTTTCCGCGTACATGTTTATGTACAGTGCTGATTCTATTTTAACATCCCAGGGACGCAACTATCACTTCCAGATTAATATCCGGATAATTTCCACGAAGAAGCTATGGTTAGTTTTATTACTTTAATTTTAGTACAACCGACGTATATATGTGTGTTTAATATAACTCCTGTCACATCTGTAGCTAGATTAGCAAATGATTCTTACAATTTTCTATACCGTTTCCTACTTTTCTTTTCGAAATATTTTAGTACAGAAATTTCGGACAGTGCAGATTTCGGACAGAATATAGATCTAACAATTGTCAATAACAATTGTGTTAATTGTCAAGCTATTAAACCAATTTGATTGTTATAATTAGTTAAGTATGTTCTTTTGTAGACCTTTCAATGAAGTTGCTACAGTATCTATGTGAAAGACAAGTGTTAATAATGTGAAATCAACATGGCAACATTATGTTAACCTACAGTACAGTGCTGTAATGGGAATGCAAATGAAACTGCAGCACTGTTGTTTGGTAAAGCATGTACATGTATGCGAAATGAGCATCTTTAGATCCAATTTGGTGTATCACATGAAAAGAGGATTGTAAACAAAGGACAAGTAACTTGTGCAGACAGGTGAGTTTGAAATATAGACAGTTTTAGAGTTCACTTCACCCCTCTTTCTATGAAATCTGATTAAAGCACTACACCTCCCTTTTTGTTTATGTGTTGTTATGTGCTTTACACAAATTAAGGTGGAACATGTGAAATGCAATCAATTATGGTGATTAAAATATTCATTGTTTTAACACATTTCTTGTTATATAATAAGTATGGACCAAATCAAAATAGAGATATTACTTTTCCCCTAATATATTTACATGTGTATGATATTAATGATAATCAATTGAGTACATTATATTTTTTTTTCTACAATATAACTAGAACTGCCACTATCATGGCGTGAATACCCCCGCATACCACTTTGTCAGAATCAACAGTGGCCATTTAGAGCTCAAGGACAACCTCCCTGCCAAATCTGAGGTTACTAAGCCAGTGCATTGCTAAGTTATGTATTCTACATGCTTCAAATGTGAAAATGTCAAAATCAATACATTGCGGACAGGAAATTCTTTAGCAATTGAGAAGAAAAGCTTTTTTTTGTCAAGGTCCCTGTGACCTTGACCTTTGACCCAGTGACCTCAAAATCAATAGGGGTCACCTTATAGTCATGATCAACATCTATGCCAAATATGAAGACTGTGGGTCAAAGGAATCTTATGTTAATGGGTGGACAAACTTTTTGAAGTCAAAGTCCCTATGACCTTGACCTTAGATCCAGTGACCTCAAAATCAAAAGGGGTCATCTATTAATCATGATCAACATCCATGCCAAATATGAAGACTGTGGGTCAAAGGAATCTAAAGTTTATTGGGCAGACCAACTTTTTGAAGTCAAAGTCCCTGTGACCTTGACCTTTGACCTGGTGACCTCAAAATCAATAGGGGTCATCTACTAATCATGACTAACCTCCATGCCAAATATGAAAGCTGTGGGTCAAAGGAATCTTAAGTTATAGGGCGGACAAGCTTTTTGAAGTCAAGGCCCCTGTGACCTTGACCTTTGACCTGGTGACCTCAAAGTCAATAGGGGTCATCTACTAATCATGACTAACCTCCATGCCAAATATGAAGACTGTGGGTCAAAGGAATCTTAAGTTATTGGGCGGACAAGCTTTTTGAAGTCAAGGCCCCTGTGACCTTGACCTTTGACCTGGTGACCTCAAAGTCAATAGCGGTCATCTACTTATCATGACTAGCCTCCATGCCAAATATGAAGACTGTGGGTCAAAGGAATCTTAAGTTATTGGGCGGACAAGCTTTTTGAAGTCAAGGCCCCTGTGACCTTGACCTTTGACCTGGTGACCTCAAAGTCAATAGGGGTCATCTACTAATCATGACTTGCCTCCATGCCAAATATGAAGACTGTAGGTCAAAGGAATCTTAAGTAATTGGGCGGACAAGCTTTTTGAAGTCAAGGCCCCTGTGACCTTGACCTTTGACCTGGTGACCTCAAAATCAAAAGGGGTCATCTACTAATCATGACTTACTTCCATGCCAAATATGAAGACTGTGGGTCAAAGGAATCTTAAGTTATTGGGCGGACAAGCTTTTTGCAGTCAAGGCCCCTGTCACCTTGACCTTTGACCTCAAAATCAATAGGGGTCATCTACTTATCATGACTAACCTCCATGCCAAATATGACGACTGTAGGTCAAAGGAATCTTACGTTATTGGGCGGACAAGCTTTTTGAAGTCAAGGCCCCTATGACCTTGACCTTTGACCTAGTGACCTCAAAATCAATAGGGGTCATCTACTTATCATGACTAACCTCCATGCAAAATATGACGACTGTAGGTCAAAGGAATCTTACGTTATTGGGCGGACAAGCTTTTTGAAGTCAAGGCCCCTGTGACCTTGACCTTTGACCTAGTGACCTCAAAATCAATAGGGGTCATCTACTAATCATGACTAACCTCCATGCCAAATATGAAGACTAAGGGTCAAAGGAATCTTAAGTTATTGGGCGGACAAGAAAAAAACCGACGGACAGCCGGACGGACGGACAGCCGGACAAGCTGATTCCAGTATACCCCCCTTACAACTTTGTTGTGCGGGGGTATAATTATCACATTAAAACTTCAAAATAAGTTTGACTATTTAAAATAACTTATTTTGTATTAGTCATTTAAAGTGGGTGACCTACTATCTTAGATATGAGATATCTCTTTCACCCCTCATTTGTTCTAACATTGATACCGGAAATACATGTATGTCCCAGATTGACAGTACATTGATAGTTATGTTGAAAATCACACATAATATTTTTTATCAACAATTATATAGCAGATTTTTCTTTATTTTTGTGTCACATTGATACTTTAAATTGTCTTTCATGTAATGTTTCAGAAAATGGTGTAATATATTGAAGTTCCATGTTGCAAGTTAACTTGTCAGGGTTAAAAATATTGAAAATTGCCTTGAGTTAAACATTTTACAAAAAAAAAATACTAAAAGAAGAAAATTAACAGACAAAAGGTTTATTTGTTGTTGAAATATTTATTCTAGAAATAATCAGGGATGATGGGTGAAGTGTCTTACTGATTTTGGGGTGTGAAGTGTCTTCAGAGGTTAAGTGTCTTGTTTACACATTTAAACAAATACTATTTTATCATATATTGTAGTAATGTTAGATTTGTGGAAATCATTATCATATGTACTCATAGGTTTGTTAAAGTTTATGTAGATATTATCTTAGTAGGCTTCTTTTCAGGTATCACTTGATTTTCTTTTATACATGTAAATGCTATATAGAGTCTATGAAATTGTAGCTGAATTTTTATCTGATTTTCCTTACAGATATAAGGCAGCATGAATAGTTAGTACTTGGTGCATCTGCTGATCAATGTATTTATCAAAGAGGACATTAACAATGATGAGGCTGTATATCACCAGGGTCAGTTATGACAAACTTATTTTAGAAACAGTAATATAAAAGTAAAATGACCTTACACTGTCAGGGAACTGACAGTTATAGAGGAATATAAAAGAAAATCAACAGTGAGAACTTCTTTAAAAGCTCAATGACTGTGACTGGCAAATTCACACATTTCAAAGACATACATAATTATTGAATAAAAACTATTCACATTTAGTTTATAGGGATTTCATTTGAATTATACATTTTCAAATTTATCCGTTCATGACATTTCATATGAGATAGTTTGTAAAAAAATATTGTATCAAATTACAATGTTAATTATTTGATTTTATGTCAGAATATTCTCTGTAATGTTTCAGATTACTGCTGAATGATGGAAGGTTTACAGCTAAACAATCTTATGATTGGAATCAATATCCATGGACAGCTCTCCCTTACAGGGTCCAAGTGTTGTGACCTTGTTATATGGCCAACAAAGGGCATATAAGTCCTAAAGATAGTTAAGAATAAAGTTATATAGACTATCAAACATTTCATCAATTTACCAATATCTGTAAGATAAGGTACATTATGTATAATTTAATACATTCCATAATAACTTTGTTTCTACATGCACATGAATAAAAATAACACTTAAGTATGGTCACAAAGGGACAGTCAGTGATCTACAATTATTACCCTGAATGCATGTAAGAAGCTTTATGTGAATGCTTTTAATGATTAATGAAAAAATATACATAGGTTAGGTCTTTAAGTTGTTTTTGAATATATATTTTGGATGGTACATGTATGTACTGACTGTAATATTCACTTGTCTTAAGTGTCAAAAACTATATATAGCTATTGATGTATGTCAAAATCAAATATCTATATTTCTTGAGGTGATAACTTTACTAAATCATTCTCTGAATAACATTATGAAATGTTAGACTTGAAAGGATACACAGCCAAATGATGTTCTTCTCTGTATTCAATTGGATTAAAGTGACTTTGAAAAAAAAGATTTATGTGTTACAATTCATAACATGAGATAAATCAATGTAACATATGTGTTTTATATTGATATTTATTGATTTATTGTTACTTGAATGCATTAAAATTGTTGGGATGAATATTAAAAACACAAAGAAAATAACACAAAAGGGACACTAATTGAAATAAACAATTGTAATACAGAATTCCCTGGAAGTGACAATTTATCTTTAATGTGCTAAGTTTATAATCATCTTTGTCTTAACTGCTCTTGTCTGAATAGTACCTTGTGTCTGTTAAAACATATTATTTTTATATTGTTATCTACTTTCAAGATTGTTTTCTAGTAGATATGTAAATAAATTCTCAACAGGTATCATAAAAAATTAATATGAATTAGAAAAAGTTGTAACATCTCATTTCAATGTCATAATTTACAGTCCTATATCTATTTATTGTCATACTGGAATAATAATAAATGACTTTGTAACATTCCAACACTTTCTGTTCTGTAGATACCTTCACAAATCAGCCAGCCATACTAGGATCCTTCCTATTACCGGACAAAATATGTTTTTTCGCCGTATTTTTCTTTTAAATAATGAAAAAGAATGGAATTTTACCCAAATAATTTTGGGTTTTTATAACACGTAAACATTACTTAATCGGACATAAAATTAAAAATTTGACCGTAGAAATGTGTCTTTAAAGTAGGGTATTATAAGAGAAAAAATCGTGTAGACAGCTCAATTTACCGCGGACATTGTGTTTCAAAATATTTTGAAGTCGTGAATTTAAATTTGTCTGTAAATAATCAACATGGAAACTACGACTATTGAATGGCAAGGTTAAGATATTTGAAGAACCCAGGCAGCCATGTTTGTTACGAAGAGGCCAATGTTTGGGGTGTAATTGAAATTAACACTATTAACTCAATTCACGTATTGAGTCTTCATGATCCTTAAATGTATGAAACACTTTGATATTCAAATGGAATTCTGTTCTTTGTTATAAAGTTCCCTTTTGGTCATCATGTAGCATGTTACAAAAGCCATAAAATCTATTTCTATTTACATTTCATGTAGAGTTTCCTCCCATGGGCGTAACCCGTTTCCTTATATGTTTTTTAATTTGCATTTCTTTGTAAAAGATAACAACGAGATACTGTTGGAATAAATTTAATATTACTTTTTATCATTAAAATCTGTTACGATTGTCTCCTGAGATAACGTTGAGAAGAATTAAAAGTGAAATTTATCTAAAATAAAACCCCATTAATTAAGGGCCTCAATATTCGGGCATGCGCAGAACAGATTATTACCCCGCATGACCAGGCCATGAAATTACTATTAAACAAAAGGGCATGGTAGTAAATAAACAAGATTGCATTTGTAAAAAATGCCATGCCACCGCATAAATACAACACAATTTTTTTGTTTCTATACAGATTGCCATAATGCATAGATCACTTACCTATCTGTTATTATCAGATTAGTACCTTCAGAAAAGATTTTTAATTTTTTACTTAGTTTACTTTAGACATAGTGACTGAAAATCAATGATCCCCAGAGGCGGGGCCAATTTTGACCCCAGGCCCCGTATTCACAAAGATTTAAGGATCAGGATCAAGATCAGGATCAAGTTTAAAAACTCCAATATTCTTCATTGTTTATCCTTATAATTAAATGTCTTATATTAATTTGATAAAAATTGACTTGCAATAGCAAGTTTATGAACTTAAAGAATAAATTTATTGCTATTTTTGCAAGATATGGGCTTTTTATAGATGATCCAAATATTGATCCTGATCCTAAAATTGATCCTTATTTTAATCCGAATATTTTTGCATTTGTTTTGTTATTTGTTGATTTTATCCCAAAATAGTTTTGTTTCTTTGCAAATCAGCAATTTTTTACATTTTGAATATTTACCATTTAATTCCAGCAAAACACTATTATTTTAAGTAACATAAAAAAGTGAAAATAAAATCAGGATCACTTGATCCTGATCCTGATATTTTCTTAGTGAACACAGGGCCTGGGCTTTAATTTGAATAATCTTGCTAGAGGTTCACTACACAATGTTTAATGCAAAATGTCTAACCTCTAGCCTTTGTCAATTAGAGAAGATTTTTTAAAGTTTTTACTATATACATGTAAGGAAAACCTATGACCCCCGGGGCGGGGCTAGTTTTGACACTAGAGGCAAAAATTGAACAACTTTGGTAGAGTACCTATAGATGATATTATATACCAAATATCAAAGTTCTAAGCCTTGTACCTTCAGACAAGAAGTTTTTTTGAGTTTTACTATATGTACATACTGAAAACCAATGACCCCCGGGGCGGGGCCAATTTTGACCCCAGGGCTATAATTTGTACAATCTTGCTAAAGGTTCACTACACAATGTTTCATGCAAAATATCTTACCTCTAGCCTTGGTGAATTTAGAGAAGATGATTTTTTAAGTTTTTACTATATACATATAAGGAAAACCTATGACCCCCGGGGTGGGGCTGATTTTGACACTAGAGGCAAAATTTGAACAACTTTGGTAGAGTACCTATAGATAATAACACATAACAAATATCAAACCTCTAAGCCTAGTACCTTCACACAAGAAGGTATTTTAAGTTTTTACTATATGTACATATAGTGAAAATCAATGACCCCTGGGGCGGGGCCGATTTTGACCCCAGGGCTATAATTTGAACAATCTTGGTAGAGGTCTACCAGACAATGCCTTATGCAAAATATCTAAGCTCTAGGCCTTTTGAGTCTTTACAAGAAGATTTTTTTAATTTATTCTTATAATTCCTTTTGGTTGCCATCGCAACCAGATTTCTGCATGGAATGAAATTCTTTGAACAACTTTAGAAGCCCTTCACCCAAGGATCAATCCTGCCAAGTTTGGTTGAAATTGGACTAGTGGTTTTTCACAAGAAGATTTTTTAAGTTCACTATATAATCTATATAACACACACACACACACACACACACACACAAACAAACACACAGGTGAATCGCTATATGCCACCGCATCGCAGATGCTGCGGTGGCATAAAAAACTGAATCAACAATATTTATCTGAGAGTGGTTTTGTTCTTATTTACTTTGAAATAGAAATAGTGTGAACGATTCAGACCGGATGATTTTTAATCGAAGCAAAGAATAACTACTGGGCAGAAATAGATTTTGTCCGGTAAACCAATTGTCCAGTAAATATGAAGGAGCCCAGTATTGTTTTCAACTTTTCCTTAATCTTAGCTAAAACTGCTAAGAAAGACTCTTCTAATGTTTGCAGATGTTGTTTAGCATTTTACCTCAGAGCCCTGTACATTTTTTTAATTCAAGCTGTGCCACCTGTAACTTATTCAATGTCATGAACGCACAGACAGGTTGAACTTTGGTGGGTGTCTCTGTATTCAAGCATCAACAGCGCTTTGTTCCAAGTAAAAAAAATCTTAAAACAGTAGCTATGCTTTGGAAGCCTTTTGCTTTTACAAGATACTATACGGTTGACAGATCATAATGATGAATACTATCACTTTCTTTGACTTTTATTCAGAAAATTCTTACCGATCTGCGGTAAGGAATGTAAGGGATATATTTACATAGTCATTGGTGATATTTAATTGTATACTTAGCCGTTTGTAAGGATGATCAGAATGACGCTTAAGTTATTTTAGAAGTAATGTGTCTAACACGCAGTAGGCATTTAAAAAAATTGACATCGTTTTGTAGACTGATATATATTATGTCCTCTTTTTTGATGCATCTCTATATTTGGATCCGAAAATAAGTACCTATTTGTTTTTATCAATGATTTACCGTTTTTTATTAAATAAAGATCAATATACAATGTATCCCATGTAAAAAAAATTAAATCTTCTATTAGAAAAGAAATGGCATTCTAACTCAAAAAGACTTATTGTTTTTTGTACATTATTGAGTTAATTTGGAAACAAAACGTATTAAATGTCCTTTTTGCTCATCCCCCATGCTTTGCAGTTATTAAAACTACTTCGACGAGGTATAGATCGTATTCTGTTGATGCAGTTGTGTTTTCATTGACAGGTGCACGGGAAATCACGTGACCCGGAAACGTACTTTCAACTGTATGGTAACTGTTTATACGGTCGTAAGACTGAGGGCGTACGACCGTGTTCATAAAACGGTATTGTGGAAATCGTAAGCTCGGTCGTAAGTATTGGTCGTAAGATAAGATCGCAGTTACGACCGTCTTTGTTGATAAAACGGCACCCAGGTTTTTTCCCTAGTAACATTAAGTATTTAATTTGATTAACAACAAGAACTGTCAGAGGACAGCGATGCTCGACTATTCGAAAAAGTTGTCACAAGGGTGTTTTATTGAGTATAATAATGCTTACCTATATGAATACATCAAATTGTCCGAAAAGGTACAAAGGCTTGTTATTAAGATGTTTTATCGAGTAAATCACTGCTTTATTATTATGAATGCATAAAATTGTCCCAAAAAAGGCACAGACACTTCAGTAGTTATGGAGATACCAGCTTACAAGCAAAAACTTTACCAAGAATTTATAAAAGAGGGGCATAATTATGCAAAAAACAAATAAGAGTTATTGGACTTGTGCCAATCATGTAAGATAATCACAGAGAACCAGTGTGTGAAGTTTCATTGCCTTCAGTAGTTATGGAGATACTTGCTTACACACAAAAACTTAACCACAGGGATGCCGACGCCGACAAATGGGTGACTGCATTAGCTCGATTATTCTGCGAATAGTCAAGCTAAAAATGGAATATTAAAAGAAGAGCATAATTTTTTGCTGTATCACATGAAAATAATTTTTTTTTTAAATCACACTAGGGTTTGAGATCTTTCATACACTGAACAAATAAAATTATTATTTGAAAGCAAATTATAGTAAAAATGACAACAACGAAAGGGATGAAAGGATTTAGATTCCGTATTATATAACAAATAAAACATGGCCTGTCGGGCAAAATGCAAGTTTACGTACTGGTTGGTCAGACTGAGGAAGGTATATGACCCTCAGCTGCGCTTCGGGCCATATACCTTCCTCAGTCTGACCAACCAGTCCATAAACTTACATATTGCCCTTAAGGCCATGTTTTGTTAAATAAGGAAAACCTATTTTGACACTAGGAGCAAAATTTGAAAAACTTTGGTAGAGGACCTATAGATGATATTATATTCCATATATCTAAGCTCTACGCCTTGTACCTTCACACAAGAAGATTTTTTAAGTTTTTGCCAATTTTGACAACAGGGCTATAATTTGAACAATCTTAGTAGAGGTCCAATAGACAATGGCTTTTGTTCTAGGCCTTGTGGGTCTTTAGAAGAAGATTTTTTTAACTTTTTCCTAACAATTTCTTTTAGTTGCCATGGGAACAATTTTGGAAGTCCTTCATCCAACGAACATTACTGACAAGTTTTGTTGAAATTGGACCATTGGTTTTGAACAATAAGATTTTTAAGTTTACTATATAATCTATATAACAGACAAACACACACACACACATACATACACAGAGAGAATAATCAATATATATGCCACTGCATCGTAGATGCTGCAGTGGCATATGAAGGGGCATTATTCGGTCAAAATGCTTAATACAGTGACCTCCTCCAGTGTACAGGTTCAAAGCCATATGTCAATGGACATTGGAAATATTTGAGTTGGTATGCAAACTTTAAAATAAATGTTAAGCCGACACTGTTGCTAGGCTAAATAGTAGAAAAGAAGTAGATCTTTTTATACAATTAAACTTTGCTAAAATGCAGTAGTGTTTTGTGTCTAGTGAATTTGGGAAGAGGGTCAAGATCAGATGTGTACAAAGGCCATAGTGTAATATTTAATTCAAAACAAGCAACTATCATAGTTTTGCAAGCAATACATAAGTCCCCTACCGGTTAGAACCCCAGCAACATTCTGAAAGGCCATTGGTCACTCAATTATGCCACTGAATGAATGATTGAATGAACTTAAATCTGTTCAGTTCTTAGTTTGTCTGTATTATAGTAATGTGTTAAATTTCCTTGAATAATAAGGAAATTATGTTTATACAACAGATAATCAAAAGATCCAATTTCCTCAGGATGAATATGTATAAGTAATGTTTCAACTTTTCTCTATATTAAGTAAATTTGATGGAAAAGTTCCAAGTGCTTTAAAAAGGATCTCAGGAAATAGTTTTTAGAAACTGAAAGACAGATAGACTGACAGACACTTTGAGGGTAAATCTTTAAACATCCCTGGTTGTTACCAGAATATAATATTTTTAAAAGCAAAATTCTCAAAGGAAATAACTCTTGAAATAAAGTTGCTAGAATTATGAACATTGTCATACATGATGCAAGTGTAACAAAGAACAATTATATTAAGTTTAAAGAAGATACCATTTATAATCACAAAGAAGTAAAGGGAAAAAATAACAAATTTCAAGTTCTTTAGATAACCTAGCTGAAGAACGCTATTTTATTGATGTTTTTAATCCGAAACTTAATACTATATTATTATTATTACCTTTCGGGTTGCGACTTGATTATTGTTCTCTGCCATAGTGTCATAATGGTGATCATTTCTGCCAAGAAGTTTTTACATTGGACCTTTGAGTGTGACCCTGACCTTTAGGGTTGTGACTTGAATATTGTGCTCTGTCAATGGTGTCATAATGGTGATCATTTCTGCCAAGTTATCTTAAAAACATTGCAGGGGTTATGGACAGACAAAATGTAGACTTTCTAACATTTGACCTGTAAGTGTGACCTTAACCTTGGGTGTAGCAATTCAATTATTGCACTCTGCACATTGTCTCATAATGGTGATCTCTCATGCCAAGTTATTTAAAAAACTTTTCACCGGATTAAATTTATTGGAGCGGACACAAATTATATACCTTTTAACACTTGACCTTTAAGTGTGACCTTGACCTTGGGGAAAACAACCCAATAATTGTGCTCTGCGCGGAAGGGGATTACCAAAGTTACAGCCAGTAATAGCAAGAACAAGCAAAATTTGGACATTTGACCATGAAGGTCAAGGTCATTTATGGATGAAGGTCAAGGTTAGTGTGGTCTACTAAAAGGTCTTGTTCCAAGGGTTATTGTGGCCAAGTATGAAATTTTATTAAAACAAAATAAGTAGACATCCACTAGAAGATTTTTTATGCCAAATATCTAAGCTCTAGCTCTTTTGGATTGCCACAAAAAGATTTTTTTTAGTTTTTGCTATATACATATTCGGAAAATCAATGACCCCTGGGGCAGGGCCAATTTGACCCTAAGGCTTTTATTAAAACAAAATTAGTAGACATCCACTAGAAGATTTTTTATGCCAAATATCTTAGCTCTAGCTCTTTTGGATTGTCACAAGAAGATTTTTTTAGTTTTTACTATATACATATAATGAATATGAACAACGCCTCAGGAAGGGCCAATTTTGACCCTAGGGCATTTAATTGAACAAACTTGGTAGACATCCACTAGAAGATGTTTCATGCTAAATATTTTTAGTGCTTTTGGGTTGTCACAAGAAGATTTTTTAGGTTTTTACTATATACATATAAGGAAAATCAATGACCCCCTGGCCCTAGGGATTTTATTTGAACAAACTTGCTAGACATCTATTAGAAAATGTTTCATGCCAAATATCTAAGCTTTACCTCTTTTGGATTTTCACAAGAAGATATTTTAAGTTTTTACTATGTACATATAAGCCAATTTTGACCCTAGGGCTTTTGTTTGAACAATCTTGGTAGACATCCACTAGAAGATGTTTTATGCAAGCACTAGCTCTTTCAGTTTTTTACAAGAAGATTTTTAAGATTTTTGTAAAAAAATCTTTCGGTTGCCATGGCAACCAGAGTTCTTCATGGAATATAATTCCTTGAACACCTTTGGTGGAGCTACATGCAAGAAACATCCCTGCAAAGTTTCAACAACTTTGACCAAGGAGGAGAAGTTGTCCATTTGAACAACTTGCTAGACATCTATTAGAAAATGTTTCATGCCAAATATCTAAGCTTTACCTCTTTTGGATTTTCACAAGAAGATATTTTAAGTTTTTACTATGTACATATAAGCCAATTTTGACCCTAGGGCTTTTGTTTGAACAATCTTGGTAGACATCCACTAGAAGATGTTTTATGCAAGCACTAGCTCTTTCAGTTTTTTACAAGAAGATTTTTAAGATTTTTGTAAAAAAATCTTTCGGTTGCCATGGCAACCAGAGTTCTTCATGGAATATAATTCCTTGAACACCTTTGGTGGAGCTACATGCAAGAAACATCCCTGCAAAGTTTCAACAACTTTGACCATGGAGGAGAAGTTGTCCATTTGAACAACTTTGGCAGGGGCCCACCAAAGGATCATTCCTGTAAAGTTTGATTAATGTGCAGTCATTGGTTTCCGAGGAGATGTTGTTTAAAGAAATTATTGATGTTGCACAACAAGGGAAGACAGTGGGGGATCACAATAGCTCACCATGAGCATGTTGTGCTCAGGTGACCTAAAAATCAGAGTTCTGTCATGTTTGGCTTGCTATATATCTCTTTGTAAAGCATTTTTGCTGATCATATTTTTATTGTTGTTACTTGAAAGAATACCTTTTGTATGATCATAATAAACTTCAAGATTTTACATGTATTTTTTGCTTGTTATCACTCACCTGATGTATTCATCTGAACCATTTTCTGTGCACCAGTTGATATTCTCCTTATCTTTGTTAAAATTGGTTGTTTCATCACTTAACTCCTCTGATGTATTGATCACAGTTCCTAGCTCAACTTTCAAATTGTAACCTTCAAATGCATCTACACCTTTAGGTAAATTTGCATCCTGACATTTTTCAATGTCACTAGTCTGAAAATTAATCTTAATTTGTTAATACAAAAACATGATTTTGAAAATAGTTTCATCTATACATATATAAAAAAAAAACACTTTTAGGCTTGTCATTTTCTTTAAAATTTATTCAACAAAAATTGAAAACAAGAGGGCCATGATGGCCCTGAAGTCGCTCACCTGTATATAGGCCCCCGGAGCGGGGCCAGTTTAAATTCCAGGGCTTTTATTTGAACAAACTTGGTAGACACCCATTAGAAGATGTTTCATGCTTAACATCTAATGTCTAGCTGGTCAAGTTTTTTCTTTACACATATAGTTGAAAACAATGACACACCTGGGGCAGGGCCAGTTTTGACCCAAGGGCTTTTATTTGAACAATCTTTGTAGACACTTACAAGAAAATGTTTCATGCTTAATATCTAAACTCTAGCTATTCGAGTTTTTTCAAAGAAGATTTTTAAGTTTTTGCTATACACATATAAGGAAAATGAATGTCCCCCGGGGCGGGGCCAATTTTGACCCAAGGGCTTTCATTTGAACAAACTTTGTAGACTCTCACTAGAAGATGCTTCATGCTTAATATCTAAACTCTAGCTATTTGAGTTATTTTAAAGAAGATTTTTTAAGTTTTTGTTATACACATATAAGGAAAATAAATGACCCCCGAGGCGGGACCAATTTTAACCCCAGGGCTTTTATAAGAACAAACTTGGTAGACACTCACTAGAAGATGTTTCATGCTTAGTATCTAAACTCTAGCTATTTGTTTTTTTTTCAAAGAAGACTTTTTAAGTTTTTGCTATACACATATAAGGAAAATCAATGACCCCCGGGGCGGGGCCAATTTTGACCCCAGGGATTTTATCTAAACAAACTTGGTAGACATCCATTAGAACATGTTTCATGCTAAATATCTTAGCTCTAGCTCTTTGGGTTCTTTAAAAGAAGATTTTATAAGTTTTTACTATATACATATAGGGAAAATCAATGACCCCCTGGGGCGGGGCCAATTTTGACCCCAGGGCTTTTATTTGAACAAACTTGGTAGACACTCACTAGAGGATGTTTCATGCTAAATATCTTAGCTCTAGCTCTTTTGGTTCTTTAAAAGAAGATTTTTTAAGTTTTTACTATATGCATATAGGGAAAATCAATGACCCCCTGGGGCGGGGCCAATTTTGACCCCAGGGCTTTTATTTGAACAAACTTGCCAAATATCTAAGCTCTAGCTCTTTGGGTTTTTTAGAAGAAGATATTTAAAAAATTTTCTTTTGGTTGCCATGGCAACCAGAGTTCTGCATGGAATTAAATTCTTTGAACAATTTTCAAAGGTGACCACCATAGGAACATTCCTGTGAAGTTTGGTTGAAATTGGCTTAGTGGTTTATGAGAAGATGTCATTTAAAGTAAAAGTTTACGGACGACGGACGGACGACGGACGACGGACGCCGGACGAAAAGTGATCACAAAAGCTCACCCTGTCACTTTGTGACAGGTGAGCTAAAAAAACCAACAAAAAACAAGATTGCATTTGCTAAAAATGCTATGCCACCGCAGTAATACAACACTAAATAGTAATGTAGGAACAGAATTATTTTGTTTCTATACAAATGAAGATAGCCATAATGCATAGATCACTGACCTATCTTATCCTTATCAGATTAGTGGTTAAATCTATTGTTATTCAAATAAAATATCAGAGTAGGAATCTATCAATGCAGTAGAGTCTAGTGAATTTGGTGGTGAAGGTTATATTTCACATGGCCAAAATTCCATGACTGTACATCAAAGGACAACACAGTTGTCAAAATCTAGGCCAGCTGATATCAAAGTTCACAGTTGCTGGGTTGTGTGGGTGTTGCGTTCATTGAAAGCCACTTTTCCTTGTTGATCTTGCAGAGATCTGCCAAGAATTTGAAAGTACTGGGCCCTGGGCCCACTTGGTCTGAAAATGATGGGCCATTTTTACCAAAGTTTGGGCCTTGGGAAAATAAGTAAACATTGACTTAAATAACTGTTAAAAAGTTTGTAGATAATTGAATTTCCCTGGTAATAAAACTTAAATCATATTTTATGACAAGTGGTTCACTTATGATTCAGTACTTAACCAATAATTAAAAATTATGCCTACATGGTAACTTTCTAATTAATATTAATTGCAGGCAAAATATTTTACAAACAAACGGCTGCTCAAAAATTTGATATGCAAATTTATTCACATAATTGCTGGTTCTTACTTCTAATGTCTAATACTGTGCATTATCCATTTAATTGTTCCTACTTTGCACCAAATGTCCCTTACCACTGTATATTATGACAAATTTTATTGCCCCTTGTATGCCTCTGTGTAGACAGCATACATCAAAGACACTTGCGGACAGACCTTTTGATCATGAAAAAAGTCATGCACAATGTTTCCCTGATTGGTTAATCGCCCTGTCAAATATTCTGATGATGAAATAGAAATCTTTTTTTTACATTACTTAAATCGTGAACCTGAGTGACCCTTGGGGTGATCAAGTTGTACACCTGTCAGATTATACTGTAACTTACAGCATTTCTTAAAATAGCGCAACACTTTTTTTTCAGTTACCGATAATCATTTTAAATATTAAGTAGTTGTATAATTTGTTTGTTTTATTGGATTAAATTTACGTAGTAGAAATGAGTATCTGTGTGGGAAAGGGATTATGAGAAGAAATGCGGTAAGTAGATAACATGGCCAAAAGCTATAGGGGAATGGATAAACTCAAGAATATGCATAATTACAGCTAGGAGAATGGGTAACATGTTGCTGTTGGTACCAGTTTTGACTGGATGACTAAATAACCCAGCAGACAGTTTTGTTTTCTTATAAGTCTGGCACAGATTTTAGATGCGCCCATGGCCCTTTGCTGCCGATTTTCCTGCGCCATTCTCATTTTTTTAGCGCCAAGAGCGCAAAATCGCGTCCTCGGCAAATCTCTGATCTTGTTTATCATATTTTACATCTTCATCTGTGCACATAGTCAAAATTTCATGGCTGTACATCAAAGGACAAGAAAGTAGTTCACTGTCCCCTTGGACAAGGAAAAACATTGACCCAAGGGTTTAATTCAAACAATCTTGATACAGTTACCTCCTCCTGTCTACAGGTTGGGGTCATGATGGTGAACAAGTGTGCAAAGTTTCAAAGCCATATGTCAATGGACTTTGAAAATATTTGAGGTATTACAAAAACTTTAACATAAGTGGTTACGCCGACGCCCGGGTGACTACAATAGCTCTACTTATTCTTATCAAATAGTCGAGCTAAAAAGCCTAACTCTACAAATAATGTGTTGATTGCAGCCAGTACTTACATACCAAATACAAACAAAATCATTGAAATCCTTCAAAAGTTATACTGCCGAAACCAACACTCTAGGAACACGCAACCTAAATGGGACAAGGGACCATTCCTTTTGCTTAATGAGGAGTATTGGCCCTTTATTCTATTGATACAGAATGAACTCTATTGTTGTTCTCTTTTGTTCATTTTACAGTTAGATGGCCCCATACTTATTTACAGTAGTGCAAATGAACAGACGGATGGACAACACCATACCATAATACGTTCTAAAGGTTTTCAAGTGTATAAATTATCATAATTTATATGATATCAAAATATAAAAGTACAATGCACAAAGGCTTTTGAACCTTGTTATATTCTTCATCATCTGCATCACAATCATTGTAAGTCTCCTCATTTCCATCACAATCATTGTAAGTCTCCTCATTTCCATCACAATCATTGTAAGTCTGCTTATATTTAATATCTGAAAAAAAGTTTTAACTCAGTAGTATTTTCTTTTACTTTATGAAATTTACGAATAATTTTGATATATGTCACAAATTGAATGTACTAAGCCCAGGTGCAATGATAAATCTCCAATCAAGAACCAATGGATTCTCAATCTATTGGGAGTTGGGAGCAAAAAATACATAAAGCTTTATGATTATACTGCTATAAAAGAAAATTAATAAGCCATTTATAAAACAACTACCTTTTGTAGTAGGCTTTGTGAACATTTCTCAAATACAGTTACTCTACTAAAGATTTTATACTTAATATTTCAATGCATGATGTATGACATTAAATAAGTTCAGATATTTTTAATAACCACAAGGGGACCTTTTGCCCCAAAATGCACACATGCACAAACACACATGCACACACATATACAGCAAAGCTCTGGCCTTTTACTTTTAGACAAGAAGATATGTGAAATTTGCATTCTCAAAACCCATTTTTGGCCCTGTGACCTACTTTACTACCAACTGGAACAATCTGGACTACTTTAATAGGCAACCATCCATGGATGATATGTGTGTTGTTTGGTTAACTATCTGTGGCTAAGTTTTATTACTTTCAGTTTAGGACTGTAGCTTACGATTCCTTTGCCACATTGGAGTTTATTTTATTTAAAGTAAATTACAATAATTTCTTGCTAACTTTCTCTATTTAATAAATCCCATTATTTTATTTTATTTGACAGACAATATTCTTGCATAGTTGTCACATGTAATTTTCTCTAAACTAAACTAAACTCAACTTAACTATTACCCCCCTTTTCCAAGATCATTCCCTTTATATAGGTTACAATAAACATGAAAATAACATGAAATTCGTGATACATGAAATACCTATGTTTCGACTCTGACGGATTCTGACAGAGTTCTTTCAGGTTCTGACGGAGTCTTGACTCAGCCGGTCATCAACTGACTCCGACAACTTAATTGTATATGTACACTTGCTATTTGCGACACTATCCAGTCAAATGGAGATATTGCACCAGTCAAATGGAGATGTTGCATAAAAAACAGACATTAGGGGATCACAATAGCTCACCATGTGCGCTTTGTACTCAGGTGAGCTATAAAAGAAGATAATGCTTACTTATTACAAAAACACTTACCAGTCAGGATTTCTTCACTTTCCTCAACCATATAATTATAATTTGTTTATTTTATCTGTTTTCAATGTTCTGGTAAATGAAGGTTACTATGAATAGAATATTATTGGGAATATAAAACACTATCAGGAGATTTTTATTTTAAGACATAAAAGATTTACTTACTTTATTTATCTTGGGACAAGAGTTAAAACTTGAAATATGTTTATTTTCATAATTATATACAAATACTTACCATTTTACACGAAAGAAGCAAGAATGTAATCCTTACTTTCCTGAGACTTACATATCTTTCCAATTATAAAGCTAATTTTGCAGTACTTCATTATCATCCTTAATGACCAGTATGGCCTCTATTAGTTTGTCAGCTGGGAAAAGCAATGACACTTGGAATTCTTTTACCTCATAAATCTCTTTTTTTTCAGTTAAAACCTTTATTATTTTTGGCTTGGAGTTTAAACAAATACTTCCATTTCTTTTGAACATGTTGTTATTTGTGAAATTAAAATTGCTGAATAAAATCATACATGTATTCCTTCCAAGCAACCAAAACAAAAACAAACAAGAAATGTCAAACGACAAATATGACCCACTTACTAGCCGTTGACTCACATTATCAGTAATTGTGTTATAGAAACTTGCAATAAATGGGTACATGGAAGTGTTCATTTATGAAAAAAGAACCAGTTTTTCAATTATCACCACTATTGAAAGTATTGTTGTCATTGTAATATAAATACATGCGAAGTACAGTATAACAATGTGCATTAAAAACCAATAACAATGTCCCTTTCTGGCTCAAAAGCAGCGAATCCCAATTGAAGCTTTCAAAAAGGAATATACAAGTTTAATTAAAATCTCATTTCTATATCAAGTTCTAGACCTGAAACCAATTTTCTATTTTTTAGTAAAAGTGACCTTTTATTGATCCTTAGGGAACCCAAAAGCAAGTCCAAGCAAAATCTTCACACACCAAGTTTCATTTAACCCTTTCCCTCATGAGCATATTGTGAAAAATGGCCGTTTTCATTGAAAAGCCTCTTGTTACAAGTTCAAACTGCTATGAAACTATGAAAAATGCTTCAATACTAATCAAACTTGGCACAAATGTTCATTGGACCATTGCCTTTGTAACGACATGCTCAGTCTTAAATTTCCTGTTACCATGGCAACGAGGGGACATCTCAAAATTGCCAAAAATCACTATTTTGCCTTGATTTTTTCCATCAAAATTTATTTCAAAGTGCTGCAACTTCTCAAGGGATTGAGATAGAGTCAAAGGCTTTTCAGCGTTGGTTACACGTTACCTTATGATCGACCTGGGGTCATTTTTAGCCTCTCACAAGTCCAAAATTTTCTTGGCGATGAGGGGGACTACCGCCCCCTTCAAACCCCCCAAACAGAAGGGGGCACATCCCCCTTCTGGCAACCCCCTGATGTATCTTTTGGATGGGGGGCGGCGCCGAAAAAGTGCTCACTTTTTTTAGCAACATTTCTCAAACGAAAACATGTGTTTGGGGCCCAAATAGGACATTTTTTCACTATTTGAGGCCTAAAAGAGGGGGGGGGGGTCAAAAGTGCATTGTTTTGCGTATATATGTGGTAAAGGGTTAAATATCTCATTCAAAACTCTAGTTTCTGGCTGGAAACCAAATTTCTATTTCTAGTAACAGTGACCTTGACCTTGATCCTAAGGGATCCAAAAGCAATCATAAGAGATTTATTTCCATAAGCTTTCTATACACCAAGTTTCATTGAAATATCTCATTCTAAGCACAACTTATTAACCAGAAACTTATTTTCTATTTTTAGTAACAGTGACCTTGAACCAGGAGGCCCAAAAGCAATTGTAAGCAAGGCCTTTACATAACCTTGCTATACAGCAAGTTTCATTGAAATAGTTCATTTCAAACTCTAGTTATTGACCGGAAAATTATATCCTGTTTTTAGTAAAATGACCTTGATCTTGATCCAGGAGGCCCAAAAGCAATCTTAAGCAAGGTCTTTACATAATCTTGCTATATATACACCCAGTTTCATTGAAATATCTCATTCCAAACTCAAGTTATTGACCTGAAATTGATTTTCTATTTTTAATATGGGACCTTGACCCTAAGGGGCCAAAAAACAATCCAAAGTAAGGTCTTTTCGTATGCTTGCTTTACACAAAGTTTAATTAAAATATCTTATTCCCTTGAGACTTAAAGAGAAAAACTAAAAATCTTTTACTAAGTTAAGGGCAAGAACTTTACAGATACTGAAATAATCCACAAGCAAACCCCAAAATGCATAAGTACATGGCTGACCAACATTCTTGTAAACTTTCAGGCCTACAAGTGAAATACTTTTTGAGCTATGCATGAACAAGTTGAAAATTGCAAATTTATACTACTGTAAGTCAAGGGCAATAACTCTACCTAAACTGAAAAAAAAATCCACATGCAAAGTCCCAGGTGCATAGCTTCACAGTGATGTGAATCATTATTCCTGTAATTTAGTGATGTTGTTCATTTTCCTTGATTCTAACTCAAGCACTCAAGGAACAAATAACATAATGAAACGTTTTTTACTAAGTCAAGGGAAATAACTCTACAAATACTGGATAAATCCACATGCGAAACCCCAGGTACAAAACTAAATATGCTGAGCAATGTTCCCGTAAGGATTAATAACTCTATGTCAAATCCTTTTTGAGTTACATGCGACACAAGTTGAAAATTGCAAAAAAATTTTAAGTCAAGGGCAATAACTCTAAAAATACTAAATAAATCCAGACGAATATACTCAGGTGCACAACTACACATGCTGATCAATATTCCTGTAAAGTTTCATGACTCTATGTCAAATCCTTTTTGAGTAACATGCGACACAAGTTGAAAATTGCAAAATTTTACTAAGTCAAGGGCAATAACTCTAAAAATACTAAAAATATCCACAAAAAATACCCAGGTGCACAACTACACATGCTGATCAACATTCCTGTAAAGTTTTATGACTCTAGGTCAAATACTTTTTGAGTTACATGCGACACAAGTTGAAAATTGCAAAATTTTCCTAAGTCAAGGGCAATTACTCTAAAAATACTAAAAATATCCAGACGAAAATACTAAGGTGCACAACTACATATGCTGATCAACATGCCTGTAAAGTTTCATGACTCTAGGTCAAATCCTTTTTGAGTTACGTGCAACACAAGTTGAAAATTGCAAAATTTTACTAAATCAAGGGCAATAACTCTAAAAATACTAAATATATCCAGACGAAAATACCCAGGTGCACAACTACACATGCTGATCAACATTCCTGTAAAGTTTCATGACTCTAGGTCAAATACTTTTTGAGTTATGTACGACACAAAAGAGAACGGAAGGAAGGACGGACGGACAAATGGACGGACGGACAGACAAGGGTAAATCTAAATGCCTGTCACTAAAGTGGGGGCACAAAAAAAACAAAGGGCCATAATTAGGACAAAAATTATCACTCACAAAACCAATAATGCGCCAGGGCACTTGATGACAAAGCTTCTGTGAAAGTTTTATCAAGATCTCTTGACAAATGTAGGGGGAGTTGCGACATAAAGGTGAGATGTTGTCACTGTGGTTCACAAGTTTAAAAGTAATTCTAATTGCCAGTCATCATGTATTAGTAACACATTGCAAAATTTACTTTAATTGGTAAAAGGATTTAATTGGTTTTAACAGTTAATAGATAACTAAATCAATATGTACTTCTGGTTCACAATAATTGCTAATTTCGTTTTTCATCCGATGATAAATACACATTCTCCAAAGTAATAGACATATTGTTGTTTAAATAAATGTGTTATGGTGCTTCTATATTTGAACTATCACGAGTGCTTT